GTAGATTTTTCTATCTTTATAAAATATTGGAGTTATTTTTTAAGGAAAAATAGAGAAGTAGCTTGTGAATAGCTCAAACTAAGCTTACAAATCGCATGTAAAAAAGCAAAAAAGTTATTTGTGTCTGTTTATATTGCTTCCTTTTTTGTAGCCTTTGTACCTGTCCAGGGTGACTGTAAGGGCCACGCAGGAGAGGCGTAACCCTTGTATAAAATAGGAGCCAGCAACACTCTTGTATTTATCTGTTCTCTTTTTAGTCAGTCACTTCAAAAAAAAAACAAAAAACAAAAAACAAAACAAAAAAAAACAAAAACAAAAAAAAGCTGTACATTTTAACATAAAATAAATTATGATGAGCCATTTTTAGCCTCTTGTGTCCTGTCATATTATGATTGATAGAGAATGACCAATTGAACTGTATCATGTGTCACATCTCAGAACACATACACATTTTGGGAAAATAAATTATTTAGTGTAAATTGGAGTTAAGAGATTTTCTGATTTGTTTTGACTTTGGGGGAGGGGGTTGGCAATAAATAAGAGTAATATCTAATAAAACCATCACATATACCAAATACCTATTTAATAAATTAATTTATAATGGATTTTAATGCTTTTCATGAAAGTTTATTTTATGCTAGTGCATACCTTCTGTATGCCAATCATTGTCTTTAAAATAAAGTGAATTTGTTTTTTTCTTTTTGACTTTGATCTTCATTTGCAAAGGGATCCTGCACAAATATCCAGTTGTCTCATTTGTACAGTCTGTATAAACTCCCCTCAGGACCTAGTACAGTGGTAGCAAGCTTCATTTTTCTAAAGATTAATACAAAAAAAAATTGGGAATTGTATATTTGAAAAATCATTTTCTTATAAAAGGTGTGAAAGTTTTGCTCTGTTGTGAATGAGTGCTTGGATGTTTTCTTCGGCATCTAAAGTTTAGACCCCACCCCACCCCACCCCCCAAAAAAAGTCAATGACCTCAAACATTATTTTATGGAATTCAGAGACAGTTTTGTCTCACTTTTAAAACAGTTGATTTTATTCAAGCAACAAGCCGAGAAATGAATGCTTGACTTGGCACCCACGTGAAACTGGCCTGTTACGCTCTAAACATGGGTGCTCACAACCCTCCCGTGAAGCCAGTCAGGACGTTGCTTTTCCACCAGTAGTTTAACACACACGAAAAATCAAGTGTTGTACAGATCACAGACACAAACCTTAAAGAAGACAGAATAAAAAGGCAGGATTGTGCATACACCCCAGAATCACGGGCATACAGAGAGGGAAGCTGCCTGGCGGGCTTTGCCTTGTGTTTCACCCTTATTCTTTTTCTCTTATAAAGCATTCTGGGCTCAGTGTCAAGAATTTATCTTTTGTTCCTTTCCTTCAACAACTGGACAGTCAGTGGGGGGAAATCTGTAGTAGCTGAGGGAGGGCTTCTAAGAAGACACTTCTGCAGGGGCTGCCGTCGCCAGGAGAGGAGAACGTCTCAGGTGCTATGCTGACAGCAAAGGAAACCTAATCCACCTTCAGAGTGGGACGTGATGGTGTGCCGATGGCTTGCATCAACTGTTGTGTCAGTTCCGGAGCAGCCAAGAATCTTAGCAGCCCAGTGGGTCCCACACGTCAGGCAAGAGGCTGTTTGAGCCTGGGAGATGGGATAGGGGCCTGCTAACAATCTGATCAGAAGCTTCGTGGAACTTCCCACAGGCCTCACTTTGAAACCTTTACATATCTGGTCTCTTTGCTCTTGTGTTAAGATTCTTTGGAGACTGAGATTTCCCTCTGTGTTCCCTTTGCCAGTGGCTTGCTAATCACACCTTATGATCTGTGTGATGCCTGAGCTCCATCACCCCCACATCCTGCCTGCCTCCCAGTCCTCCAGGGTGCCTACCCAGGGGTGAAAGCATTCACCTTCCCTGCCAACATTCTGTTTTATGAATATTGACTCATAATATTGTTACAGAGCTTTAGCAAGCAGACCTCCCTCGTTATCTACACACCTGCCCCGTGCAGCGAATGGGTTAGTTGTCTCCAATTCACAGATGAGGACAGTGAGGCTCAAAGAAGCTAAATTGCCCAAACTTACTCAGCTAAAATTCGTGAGCTGAAACAAACTCGTATCTCTCCAAATCCCAGCTCTTTTTTCCTAGAAAAAAGTTTTACTCTTGTGAAAAGGCCATAACTTGCCATCTCTCTGATTTAAAGGCTTAGCTAATAAATACATAATGTTTTTAAAACTGTTAGGTGCTGTATAAATACAGGTTATTTTGTTGTTACAAGCAAGTGTTGGTCTACAGTCAGTACTCAGAGTACAAGTACTATTACATTATGAAACGATAGCTTCAATTTCTTTGTAACAGGCTTCCATAATTCCACACTCCTGTTTTTTCTTCTCCCTTCTCTATCCCCTTTCCTGGGACTAACTCAATTTTCTCTCACCTCAGTATGATGACTTAAAATTCCTCCTCTAAAAAGACAACACCAAGATTTATACCTCCAGTCTGAACTCTCTCTAGATTCAAGGTCAAATGACTTGACACCTTTTGTATGTCTTACAGATGTGACATAACTGGCGATCTCTAGGCCTTCTCCCCGCCCTTTTCTGCCCTGGTCAACCCAGAAACCAAATTGATATCTTCCATTTCTCCCTCCTCTCTTCAGCAGGGTCTGTCAATTCTCCAGAATAATTCTGAAACAATCTTGAGTACTAGCCCCTTGGTGCTGTGTTAGTCCAGGTCACCTTCCGCTTTCCTATTAACAATTCCAGCAGCCTCCTAACTGGTCTCGCCTCCCTTCTTAACCCCCTACAGTCTGTTCACCATACTTCAGCCACAGTGAGTTTTTCTTTCCAGAGTGATCTCCTTAGAACATAGGTAATACCATTCCCCTGCTGAAAAAAACTTCAGTGGTTTTTCTTTGCACTGGGAGTAAAATCCAGTCTCCCTACCCATCACCTTCCACTCCCTGCCTGTGCCTTCCACCCCCTCCCCGCATGAACTCTAGCTTCACTGATTGGCCGGTCCTCAAACACACCTTAGGGTGCGTTTCCTCAGAAATACACTTCTTTGCCACTTCGGGGCCTTCGCCTACGCTGTTTCTCAGCCTAGAACGTTCCCTCCGTATTTGGAAAGTGTGCTCCTTCAAGTCTCAGCTCACCCCATCTCCTCAGGTCTTCAACCACAACGTCTAAAGTGGGTTTCTCCCCCATCCTGTCCCCAGTTGTTCGGCACCTCACTACCTGTTTCCCTCATTGCGCTTTGTCACAACATGGGTTTTTGGTTTTACTTTTGGCCTCCTAACCCAGTTTTTGGTGTGTAGTAGGTTTTCAGTAAATATTTGTTGACCAAATGAATACTTCTGAAGACTTGAAACAGCTCTGCAAAAACTTCTGTTCCTCTTTTATCCTACCTCTGGCTCCCAGGAGCCATCTTGGAGACCAGACCTCCAACTTCAAAGATCTGTGCTTCTGTGCTCCTCGGCAGGACTCGTAGCCCTACGAAGAGGTGGGAGCATGTTGGAAGGTGTAGGGACTCGAGAACACCAGCAGTGGACATTCCATCCTTTCCACATACGGATTCATGTAAATGTAATTTTTTTTTTAAACTGGAAATACTGATTTCTCTCTGGACAAGGAATAGATCAGACCTAGGAGATAAATGAGTTTCGAGGGAATTATTAGGATCCTGTGATGAGCAAGTCTAGATAGGGCCCACTATGACCCTAGAATCCCTTTTGGTCTGTATCTCTTTTCCAAGAGCCTGTGTATGGCTCCCTTCGCACCCAAATCTGAGTCATTACGAGGACTCAATTCCAAGGTGAGTCACCCAGAGCAGATTCTGGGCAGTTCCAGGAAGCCAGACCAGCCACGGGGCCCAGGCCACAAGTCCTCCCCTCTGACACAAAAGCAGGGCAGCCCGCCAGCGGTCTCAGGGTTACTCTTGGGTGGCTTTGCTGAGCCCCTGGACACCATCCTCCCTTCATCAAGAACTTCCTTTTTCATTCTGCGGAAAACCACAACCAAATTGGAGGACTGGGCCCCTTTTCACGTTTTCCCCAAAGACCTTCATCACACTCTGCTTTCCCTAGGCAGTTTTGGTTTCTGGTCTTTGCCACACCTCCACAATATCCCTCTTCCAGTTTTTATGATTCCTGGTTCTAGAAGCCATCTCTACCTGCTCAGTGCCTGCTGCTGCTCTTTCCTCAAGAAGGTAAATGACAGTCATGGTGACTGGCATAACTCTCAGAGGAGGGGGAACTCCACACCTGGGCTCACCTGCTGCCTCGTTCTCCCATTCCAGAGCAAATGCATTTGCAAATACTTTCTGGTATGACCGAAAACGAGAATCTAAATGAAAGGAGCTTCCCTGAGTTCCGGTCCCCTACAGAACTTTTTTCCGAAATTATAGTCAAACTCTTGTCTGAATTTACCACAATTTATTGAATTTTTCTGGGTAGTGGCAGCTCTAGCTAAGATTCTGAAGAGCCCTGGCTCCTTGAGGAAGGTAGGGGAGTCCAAAGCAGGGGCCTCTGTGCAGGGGCTCAGGACCCTCACTCCCCACCCCTACCAATACCCGAGGCTGGGGATCTCATCAAAAAGAGGATGTGGGAGACAGTAAGGAAATGAGGCTGCCCCAGAAAGCGATGCACTAATAAACCGTGCAAGCTCTCCTCTAACATAGCTCTCCCAGGCACTTTTCTACACATTTGCAAATCCTTTTCTGCTTCCATCTTACCAACGGGGGGAAAAAAGGCGCCTTTATGCAGAACTGTGTGTTCATTTGTAAACGACTCTGCTGGGAAGCCCGTCTATCCCATTTTGCTGTGAAGCCAAGTTCTGGACTAGTCCAAAATGCAGCCTTGAATCTTCCCTGTTCATCAGCACACACCCCAGAAGTTTAAGATTATTTGGAAGAAGTCAAGCTTTGGTTTCACTGTCCTTTCTCCATGACAAATGAAGTCACAGGTCAGAGCTATTTCAGTCTTCCCTCCAAATTCCCAAGAGTCTCTGCGGGCCCACGCGGGGCCCTACAGCTCTTTCTCACCGGCCTCACCGTTGTCACTGAGCTGTGTCTGTCTCCTCTGCTGCACCAGCTGCTTGTCTAGTTCCCGGAGCTGCTTCAGAAAGCCCCGGTTGGGTAGGACACAGCGGTTCTTGGCCACCTGTTGAATGGCGTCCACCAGGGTCATGTTCCTGTGGATCATCAGGTAGGCCAGGACTAGTGTCGCCGACCGGCTGCGGCCCATGACGCAGTGAACCAGGATCTTATCTGAAATGGAGTGGGGAGAAGAGGCACCAAACTGTGCTAGTAATCATTGCATTCTTCACCACCATGCACTCTCGGGGGTCGGGGTGAGGGGAAATACCAATTTCCCTTAAGAATATCTTTGATGAAGCAGTAAAAATTAATTTATCAAATTTCAGCCCTTGGTCGCACTTCTTAATATTCTCTGTGATGAAATGGGATATTTGCATGAGGCACTTGAGCTGCATACCAGAGTATGATGATTATCTCAAGGAAAAGCACATGGGAGACTGAGTTGCAAGCTGAATTAGCCACTGTTTCAGGAAAACATCATTTTTACATAAAAGAATGAATGACAGAAAAGCCATGGTAATTCAAACTTGGGTATTTGGCAGACTTTTTCTCAAAAGTGAACAAAGTGGGCCTGTCATGTCAAAGACAACAACTGACAGTATTTATTGCCAATGATAAAGTGCAAGCTTTTGAACAAAAATTAGAATCTTGGAAAACTTGTATCTGTCACTGTCAAGTCGACAGTTTTCCAATACTTTTAATATTTTTCTGTTAAGAGCAGTGGTGATATTAAAAATGTGGGTTTAAAAAAAAAATAATGTACAATGAAACGCGTCAACATTTAGAGAATCTACATGACTTAGTAAATCAGTATTTTCCAAATGACCAATGAGGGACATTACAAAATAAAGAATGGGTAAAAAAAATCCATTCGAAGTGCAAGACAGGCAAATGAATTCTCCTGTGAAAGAGTATGAAGTTTATTGATAACAGCTTCAGATTCTACATCACAAATAGCCTTTAAGAAGCTGCCATTTGTCAAGTTTTTGTGTAGTATCAAGAAAAATATCCACAATTATCTGAAAAGGCTATTAAAGTATCCCTCCTTCCACTAGTAACGTATCTGAGCGAGGCTAGATTGTCTTAATATATATCAACCAAAACAATATATCACAAGAGATTGACTGCAGAAGCTGATAAGATTGCAACTGGATTCTAATAAGCCTAACACTGAAGAGATTTGCAAACATGGAAGTTAATGCCACTCTTCTCCCTAACCTTCTTTTGGAAAATATAATTTTTCATAAAAATGTTAATATGCAATAGTTCAGTTCATTATTTTTTGAATGAATAAATATTTTTCAATTTTTCAGTTTTTCTAATAGGGTAAATATTGACAGATATAACCTACATAAACAAAAGCTCTTTGAGGTCTTCAATAATTTTTAAGAGCATAGAAGGGATCTGAGACCAAGACGTTTGAGAACCGAAGATCTAGAAGTCTTTTTCTACGAGGGAGAAAAACTCCCTTTGGCCACTACCACAGCAACAGCTGGCCTCAGCTGAGAAGCTGTGATGTGGAGCAGTTTCCTGATCCTTTGAGCCTCCATTTGGTGGCGATCTAGAGCTCACATAGTGAGCATCAACACACTTTATCTCATTTCATCTTTAATACAACCTTCAAGGTTTCATTGTCATCATCCCTGCTTTGCAGAGAAGGAAGCATGCCCAGAGAGGTGGAAAGACTTGCCAGAGGTCACCCAGAAAGCTGATGCCAGCACTAGAAATCATTCAAAGCAACAATTGGATAAGGCCCTACTGTGTGCTGGCCACTGGCCACTGTGCTCTGGGGACAAAGTAATGTGATTAGGCTCTCTGGCTGTCCCCACCACTGCCAACCCAGGAGCCACTCTCTCCTGATGGGATCCGTCTCCTGGAGTTGAGCTGACTGGGGCAACTTGAGCTATGTGAACCCCGGGTTGTCTCTATTCCTGAGTCTCAGGCCTGAGGCCTTTAGGATGACCAAAAGACACTCATGGACATCCTTGGGTTTATGGAACATCACAGGATACAATAACAGCTTGGAAAGAGCACTTGCGAATGAATGTGATTCTCCTATGTTCCTCTCACCTTCCTCGGGGGACCATGTCCAGGGCAGTGGTGATGGTCGGCAGCCATGGCAGCATGAAAAATCCAAAAGGCCCTGAACACTGGGCACCAGGATTCTCTCTCTTTACCCACCTTGGCTGGAGAGGCCTGCGCACAATTCTCAACAGTAAGGACTCTACTGATGGCCTCTTCGCACACAGGGCTGGCACAGAGAAGTGCTCCATGAAGAGCTTTTAATTTTATCACAATTCATTTTCACAGAACTCCACAAGGTAACTAGACGGCCCTCCAATCCCTACCTTCATGTTACTGAGCTACAAGAGTGTGGCCACACGCCTTTTTCTTGTGCACTTGGGCCAGAAAGGAAGGCAACAAGCAGGGCTGGCTTCTTTATTGGGTTTGGGGGAAGCTGGCCCCGGCATGACTGTGCTCTTGGAGTGGAATGTCTACCTCTGGCATTCTAATCCCTACAGACTGTTCCAGAGGCTGCCTGGCCCCTTGCCAGCTCTGCTGATAACTAAAGCGTTTCTTCCTCTCCTGGAATAAAGGGTAATTCTTTCTGTCATGACTAAATGCTTGAAACAGACGAAAGCTGTAGTTCATTAAGTCTTTCAGGAGCCTGAAGTCTGTTAAGTGGGAGGAGTGGGGTGGGGAGAATGAAGGGGAGGGGGAGAAAGGGGAAGGGAGAGGAAGGAAGAGGGAGAGAAAGCGGGAGAAAGGAGAGGGGTCCGGGTGGGGGTCAGGGGATTGCTGAGCTCCAACAGGAGTTCCTGGAACTAAATTTTGTTTTTATGACAGTGGCATTAATGCCATCAGCCATGTGAGCTTGGTAGGTCTCCCTTGGGTAAAGGACCTGTCCCCAGGCTCTCAGGGCACTTCTCCCTCTTTGCTCTGTGGCTCTCTCTACTAAGTACCACCCTTGTAGGCCCAGCTTCAGGTGCTGGTTAGAAACTGCTCTCAGGAGAGTTCAGAAGCAAAGGGAAGAAAAACTGCATTTAGCTTTTTTCCAGCATGGTGCACACCAGAGAGACTAAGAGGCTCCCTGTGAGTGAGACACCAGCTGGGTTAGGGCCCTGATCGAAGGCAGCATTATCAAGGGTGGCATTTTCTAGATCAGTGGCTTTTAAACTTTTCTGTAGGGCCCTCAAAAAACACTATATAAAATTCACAGCTAATACGTACATAGCCTCACCTGGCCCCCATATCTTCCCAATATGTTTTTGTGTATTTTATCATAGTCAGTCCTCACAACAATCTGGTGAGGTAGATAAAATTAATATCTCCATTTTGCAGGGGAGATAGCTGAAGTGCAGAAAAGTGACTCATCCAAGTCACGCAGCTAGAAAGTGGCAGAACCATGATTCAAGCCCAGGCTACCTGATGCCAGAGCAAAGCTCTTAGATGCTGTGTGGTATCACAGGTGTGTTTGTATCAAACAAAAGTGTCACAAAATAAGATGTACTTCTATTACATGCAATGCAAGGTGATGTTTTCTATTCTTTTCTAATCTATTCAATTTTTTTTTAAACATGCTGTTTGCACCCATTAGATTGTTTTTATGACCCAGTATTGATCATAAGCTATGTTTGAAAAATGGTGATTTCAAGGAACTATTTTCCCTTAGATCTTTACCAAACAGTGAATTCTCATAATCTTATGAAGAAAACCCAAATCCAGAATCCCTTCTGTTCCTCAACAGCATACTTTCACATCTCACCAGAAAGTAGGCCTCTCTCACTCAAATCAGACATACAGGCCAAGTCCCCCATTCCACCCCTCTAACTCTAACCTCCCACCCCACCCCCGCTAGGTGTGCACTCTCTAAGCAACCTCCTTCCTTGGTTTCGGAGATGCCCTTTGCCCATCTCTCATTCACTACCTTGGAACTTGCCTTCCTCTCCCCAAACCGTTCTGGGTATGTGGAAGTCCTCAGGGAAAGGGTGCGTGGGGTACTTTGAACTGCTGGGGTGGGGCAGGCCTGTGTGTGCTGCAATGGGGCAGGAGACCCTTAAAACACCTGGAAAGTCTAATCTGGTTAATGTTTAGAAGCACTAGAGAACCAACCTCCTGCTCAAAAGCAGACTTCATTTAATTATTCACACCCACCTTATCCATAATAGTTTTTAATATTGCTTCAAAAGCAGGCTGTGGACTGTTTGTTTAAGAAAAAGAAAGAACAAACAGAAAAAAAGAGTGACGATACTAAAATCTGCTCTTTGGAGCCTCATGGTATCCGCCCTGGGATTTCTTAAAAGATTTCATTAAGTTAAAACTACACTAATTCAGCTCTGAGAATGCCGTGCCAGGGGCGGTCAGTTAAGGCAGTCCAAATGGGGTTCCCCTGGCAGTATTTTGTCGGTACTTCTTTTTCTGATGAAGAATGACAAATTCAGTTGTTTCAGATCCTGTAACCAGCTGGAATGCCTCACCTTCTATGATATTCGGTGACCTCTTACACAGCAAAGTCACCAGGTGCTCAAAATAAGGTCAAAGGGTTCTTCCAAGAACACTGAGTGATAGAAGGAACTCTTACTGGCCTCTAATTAGCTCTGTGACCCTGGGAATAACGCTTGGCATCTCTGGGCTTCTGTTTTCCCAGCTCTCAGGGCAGGCAACTGGACTAGATTTTTCAAGAGTGACTGAGGTTGCCCGGAGAGTTCTTTCAGAAGGGTCAAATTAGGGTTGGATAGGGGTAGGAGCGGGCCCCTTGGGCTGATTACAGGCTGTGAGTACAACTCCACAAGCAATGCTTTTCGAAAAGAGTGAAGAAGACGGACTATGAGGAGCAGCAGTGGGAAACAGAGTACACTTGGCTGAAACTAGCCAAGGAAGAAGAGGAAAGACAAAAAAGAGGAAAGAGGGATGCCTTGCCTTTCGGCCAGACTCTCTTACATCAAGAGTGTAATAAGAAACGTGCAAATGGGCCCGGCTCTAAAATGCTACAGTTGTGGCCCTTGGTTTTCCAATGCATGACTTGACACAACCAGCTCTCTCGCTGCGTGTGGCAGGCAGGCCGGGCGCATGCCATCTCCACTGTCTGGAGTCTATGATGATGTTGTTGCCAAACTAACCAGCACATCATTTTGTTACTTTGACTACTCAGGGCACAGGTTACAAACTGACAGCCATTGTGTTTCTTCTGTTTGGCCTTAGTGGCATTTTAAGAAATTTTTCATTTGTTGCCAACACTTAAAAATTGAGTGGTTTTACACTTAAAAATTGAGTGGTTTTACATTAAAATCCAGATTGGAGACATTCCCTGAAAAGTCAGATCAACTACATTTGCACTGATTCTCACGAGACAAACACTGGCTGGGACTGAGTAGAAGCTGTCCCCTTTAGGGGGATATGGGGCTCTCCATTAGCCACAAGCACCCCCTATCCACACTCCACTGCTTTACATGCAGGCAGTTCCATTTGTTCATGCTCTCTGCCTGGTCCTGAAGAGTTGAGCCCTCAACCTGAAGAAATATTTAGATATTCAAGTGCACAGGGCTCTGCAACAGGACCCCAGCCTCCCATCTGACAATACAGTAATGTCCTGCATCCCATCCCAAGCCACTGGTCTAGTCTCCCACCCTGAATGTTCTCTAACCTGGGTTTATACTTTTCTTCTTGACTCTTTCTTTGCCAGGTGCTCTTGACAGGATCCACATCAGTCACCATCCACACCCACCTGACCTTTCCACATGGATGCTCTATCATCTGCCCTGGCCTAAACAGGACTTGAGAGGCCCATTCTTTCCTGATTTGGCAGTGGGGGCTGACTCTAAAGTCACGTGCCAGAAACCAAAAACAAGCTGTCATGTGAGTATATCATACTAGTTCAAAGTTGGAATGTCTTTTTTCCCTGTTTTTTTTTTCCTTTGGGGATTGGAAACTTTATTATGATGATGTGCATGTGCTCGTGTGGTTAATGCGTTTCACGGTGCACGACCTCTCTTTATCAAACACATCTGAGAGCCTGCTTCATACCAGGTTCTGTGCTAAATGCTTTATGTCGGTTACTGCTGAGCCTCATTATAACCTTTCAAGGTAAATATTTTTATCACCAGATGGAGAAACCAAGGCTCAGGGAAATCACATTGCTATTAAATTGTGCGGCATGAATTTGAATCCAGCCCTGTCTTCTCCGAAGCCTGCCAGACCCCTTCTATTAAGGGGAAGGTCGAAGATATGATAATAGCCAGCGAAACTGAAAAACTGGGTGGTTGTACTGTAGCTTTTCGTTTCTTCATGTCAAATATGTTTTTAGTTAACTTCAAATACTCTGAGGAGAATTTTACCTCATGGTGATGAGTCAGAGTCCAGTTGTTTTTTGATCCTGCTTGGAAACCCAGAATGTGCATAACAGAAAAGATGGCCCATAAATAGACTCATAAAAGGGCAACTGAAATGAGGCATCCTTGAATACAAGCACTTCAGCTCCATGCGCTTTTCATTGTGACATTGCTTCATGAACCAAAATAATGACCAATTGTTGGTGCCTGTGGCTGGCTGTGAGGCAAGTCCACTTTGGGACAGCCATCAAGGTCTGGGACTGTTCGGCAGACATGGCCTAGGTTCACCCACCAATTGCAAGTTCTTAAAGCAGGCCCGTTAGTCTGTCAATGAGCCTTGCAATCTCAACCTCTTGTGGTAAAAAAGGTTTTCAGTACAGTAGTTGCCCTTTACCCACAGAGGATATGTCCCAAGACCCCCAGCGGATGCTGGAAACCAGATAGTACCCAACCTAATCTACATCAACTCTGCCGGAAATGTGGCAGCACCTGCTTCATCCGCAGATGCAGCCTCTCCAGGAATTTTTCTATTTTTCAGTCCAAACTATTCCTGAATCTATGTAATCATCCCTTACCCGTGGTAAATGGCTTGGTGTCACCCATTTCAGGGGATCCCTTGCTGAAGTTTTCATGCAGGCTCAATCCTTTCTGGTGCAACACATTGCTGTCAATCACAACACATTTTTTGTTCATGTCCACCACCCAGAAATTTAATGCTTTTTCCATCTTAACTAAGTACTTATTATGTACTGCAGCAGTAACTTCTGTAGTTTAAGGTGGGACAGTAAAGCTAGCACAAATTTCTTCTTTCTTCACAATTTCACAGATAGAAGATTCCTTTACGGTAAGATCTTAGCAACTTCAGCATACAATTTTTTTCTTATTAAGTCAAGAACTTTCACCTTTTTACCTAAAGAAAGCATTTTACAGCTTCTCTTTGGCATATCTGAATTGCCAGGATCACTACTCTTGCATTTTGGAGCCATTAAGTAAAATAAGGGTTACTTGAACTCAAGCATGCGATACCAAGACAGTCGATCTGATTAGCCAGCCTGACTAATAGGCGAGGAGTGTATACAATGTGGGTACGCTGGACAAAGGGATGATTCACATCCCTGTTGGGATGGATGGGACATTTCAAGATTTCTTTTTTAAAAAAAATTTTTCAATTACGATTGACGTTCAGTATTATTTTATATTAGTTTCAGATGTACAGCATAGTAGTTAGACATTTATATAATTTATGAAGTGATTCCTCCTAATTAGTCTAGTCCCCACCTGACACTATACCATACATAGTTATCACAATGTTATTGACTACATTCTCTATGCTGTACTTTACATCCCCATGACTCTTTCATAATTACCAATGTGTACTTCTTAATCTCTTTACCTTTCTCACCCAGCTTCCTAACTCCACTCCCATCTGGCAACGAATAGTTTGTTCTCTGTATCTATTAGTCTGTTTCTGTTTTGTTTTGTTTTGTTCTTTAGATTCCACATACAGATGAGATCATGTGGTATTTATCTTGCTCTGTCTTATTTCACTTAGCATAATACCTTTTAGGTTTACCCATATTGTCGCAAAAGGTAAGATTTCATTTTTTTTATGGCTGAATAATATTCCATTGTATATATGTACCACTTCTTTATCCACTCATCTACTGATGAGCACTTGGGTTGTTTTCATATCTTAGCTATTGTAAATAACATTGCAATAAACATAGTGATGCATATATCTATTTGAATTAGTGTTTTGGTTTTCTGTGGGTAAATATCCAGAAGTGGAATTGCTGGGTCATAAGGCAGTTCTATTTTTAATTTTGTGAGGAATCTCCAAATTGTTTTCTCTAGTGGCTGTACCAATTTGCAGTTCCACTCACAGTATATGAAGGTTCCCTTTTCTCCACATCCTCACCGACACTTCTTGTTTGTTAATTTATTGATGATAGCCATTCTGACAGGTATGAGGTGATATTTCATTGTGATTCAAATTTTCATTTTCCTAACGATTAGTGATTTTAGCATCTTTTCATATGTCTATTGGCCATCTGTAGGGACACTTTGAGATTTCATGATGCTACTCAGAATGCTGTGTAATTTAAAATTTATGAATTATTTATTTCTTGAATTTTCCATTTAATATTTTCAGACTATGGTTGACTGCAGGTAACTAAAACTGCAAATAAGAGGGACTGCTGTAACTGGATACCCTGAATTATGTGATGGCCCCATAAAGGGATGCGACACATGGGGCTGAAGTCAGAGCACAGATTAGGGAGTTGAAGTCTCTCTGGCCTCTGTGGAATGCCACTGAAATCCACTCGGCAGCAATAACTGCATATTGTCTTTCCTGACACATATCATGCTCTTCTCTTCAAAATAGCATTGTAGCCTTTCTCTGGATTAGGGCAGCTAAAACTACATTTTGAGTGTAAAAACTAGTGCTGTGATTTAAAAGATGGATAACTAACTTTGGGAAACTTGGACGTCACGGGTGCAAAGCTCAGTCTCAAGTAAAGGTTGCCACTTATTAAGGCTAGGTTGTCAGCTTTCTACAGGAGGCCTCACTAGACCTAGGGAGGCTATGGGCTTCGTGGGTTGGCAAGAGAATTTGAAGTTTCTGCACAGATTCCTACTCAAGTCAGCTAGCTGCCTGAGGGCTTCTGATATCAAAACCCTTGACTTATTAGTTGGGTTTGGGCCCAGGCACAATTAGTGTTTCTCCGGCATCACAGCTTTGAGTGAGCCCAGACCACCTCTTGCCTTTGGAAGGATGGCTAATGTGCCTTAGGGAAGAGAGCTTTCGCCAAAGACCTCTTCTGAATCCTCCCGATGCCGATTCAGTCAATGCCCGAACTCCACCAGCAGCACACTCAGGGGCTCAAACATTTCCAGCTCAACCACATGCAATCCTAGCACGGCCAGCTTTCAGAGGTTGGCCGACTTAGAGTCCTGGGATCACGTTTCCAGGTGGGAGGTGGGCGTGGTCTTGGGCTATGGGGCGGGACCTCTGGCTGCGGGCGGGGCCACGGGCGGGACGCAGGTTTCTTACTGTGATCCAAGCGGAGCGCAGCGTCGATGAAAGAGGCCGCAGTGTAGAAGAAGACGCTGAGGTCGAAGGTGGGCACGTCGTCGGCCTCGACACCATGGTACTCGATGGCCATGTCCCGGTAGTAGTCGGGCCCTGTGTCCACGTTCCAGCGGCCATGGGCCGCGTTCAGCACGTGCGTGAAGCCCGCCTTCTGCAGTCGGTAGCGGTCCAGCGCCGTCGACCTGGGTCCAAGGGAGAGAGGCTGGTTGGCTGTGCGGTGCCTTAACCTAGATCTGGGTGGGGGGCGGGGGGGATTCGTGGGCCACCCACGAGTTGCTGCTGTCAATTCTGGCTTCCAAAATAAGACCTATTCATTGAAATTAAAGACTTCCCTAGTCCAAAGCCCTGCTCTTACTGACCTCTTGGCAACCTGTGCCATTCATGTTTCTGGCTCTGCCCCTTCAGAAGGAAGAGGGTTGGAGAGTGGGGTAGGTGAACTACTCATTGTCCTTTCATTTTTTTCATCATTCACCAAATACATAAGAGCTTGGTGCTGGACACCATGGTGGTTGTAGGAGTGCCAGATTCCCTAAAAGGCCACCAGAATAACCTGTTCATCAGGCCAAGTTGAATGTAAGGCAAATCCTCACCTTCACAGAGCCTCGGGAGGTCCTTTAAAGCAGTCTCTCCTCCGGGTGTATGTATAAACTTTATAGGGTTTGGAGGTCGAGCCTCAAATGAATGGGTTAAGACAGGTCTTTCAGTGGGACGATTTAATTGAGATTGGGCAAAATTCTTAATATTGATGTTCATGGGATTGGTGCATATAATGCAAAATCTTTGCTTTGATGAGGGAATCGTTGCCTAGTTGGGCAAACTATTGTTCTGAGGAGAGCTATTTCCACAATAGCTTGTTCGATGTCGGGAGTTCCTGAAGCCAACAGTGAAATTATTTTTTTTAGTTTATAGCTTTATCTTTTCAGGCAGGATTTTCTAGGAATGAAGAGAAAAGTCATATTGAAGTAGGTGGCCTTATAACATGGGACAGAAGAAGCACAGGTTCTTTCTGCCTGGAGAGGTCAGGGGAGACTTTATGGGAGAGAGTCCTTTGAGCCTGCTTTATTACAAATGTCAGCCCTTAGCTATGGAGGGGAAGAGGGAGGCAAGGGCATGCCAAGCCAAGGAAATAGCACAACATAAGGGGTGGAAGCTGAAGATAATGAAGGTCTTTCAGAAAATGTTATTTCCTGTAAGCAATCATTTATGCCCAAATAATGATTTAGATTCTATTGTGTGCCCGGCACTGTACTGGTTGCTGATGCAGCAATGAACAGGTTAGTCATTGTCCCTCAGAAAACTTAGATTCTAATGGAGATAGCAAATAAACAACAAATGAATAAGCAACATAATTTCAGATAGTCGTAAGAGCTGTGCAGAAGGACTTGCTCTAGGTAATGTGGTTAGGGAAGGCCTCTGTGAGAAGGTGACATTTAAGCTAAGAATGAGGGATGAGGAGGAGCTAAGCAGGGGAAGAGTTGAAGGAAAAGTTTTCCACCCAGGCAGAGGGAGCAGCAAGTCCCAAGAACAGAAGGGAAACTAATGGGGGGCGGGGGGGGCGTGTAGTGGTACAAGAGTAATTTGGAAAGGTAGGCAGGGCTGGGTCCTGGTGGGCCCTGTAGGCCGTAGGAGGCAGAGTTTGGATTTTATTCTAATTGTGGTGAAATGCCACATGCCACAGAGGACTTTAAAAAAAGGGTGAGCATTATTTATTTTTTTTGAGGATCAGTATGGCTGATGTGTAGAGATGGATTGGAGAGGGGCAAAAAATAGAAGTGGGGAGCTCTGTTGGAGGCTGTCACAGTTGTACAGCCAAGAGAGAAAGGCAGCTTGAACTAGAGTGGTGTCACAGCTGACTCGCTGGCGGGTTGGGAATGCAGACAGAGAGGAGGGAACTAGTTTGGCCAGAGCATAGGATGTGAGAGGAGAGCAGAGGAAGTATTGGGGAAGGAGTATAGGATTTGATCATGAAAGTGCTTGCATTTCAGAATCCGTATTTGGGAGTCAAGAGCTTTTGATAGTGTTTGAGGAGGAGTGATCCCATCTGTACTTTAAGGTGACATCTCTCTCAACAGCACAAAGACCAGTTCTATAGCTCAGGGAAGAGGTGACAAAGATCTGAAACCATAATAGTAAGAAGCCAAAAGTGACACTGTGCTCCAGCTGAGGCCTCATCTCAAGGTCACTGGTAAAAGGACATGGACAGAAGTGGCCATATTGGATGCCAACATGGATCAACACCCTTGGCCAAGAGGTCCCCTGAAGCAGAAACACATACCATGGCTCCTCGGCGAGGCCCCTCCTCAGCTGTGGGTTTCCTGGATCTTTTTTTTTTTTTTTTTTTTTTTTTTTTGCCATGAGAGGAACTACAATGGAGTCCAGTGTTTAGGAAACAGGCATTGAGCTTTTAGAAACATTTGCCAACAGTCCATTAGAACTGAGGCATAGGGAGGTAGGGAGTTCCACCAATCCCTCTAGCTGGCCTTTAGTGCTTCCATCCTGATTATGGAACACATTCTGCTTTTAATTTTTCCTCAGAAAGGTCTGCTTTTCATTTTTCTTCTTGTCCCAAAGTATGTATACAACAAACATTATGCTTTTGGGATATAGATCTGTGCTCAATTAAAGCCTCCACTAATGCAGTCCATCTTGCTGAGTAGCAATCAACCTCACTTTGAGGTTGAGCTCAGTGGAAAAATTTAAATTAACTGTCCTTGACA